CAATACATCGGGCCAAAGAGTGTAATTAATCCTATTACTATTGGGCTTTGGCCTGCATAGTAATAGGATTAATTACACTCTTCCAAAAATTTTATGAACTCTAAATAGAATAAGACATAATTTTTAAACTATAAGTGAATTCAAATAAAAAAACTCCTCAACTACAAAATTTTAGAAATCATCAATATCTACAATTTTTGTTTTGGTCATTTCTCCGTAAGACTTTGTTTTAACAATTTAAAATTTGAATTTTAAAAAATGAATACTTCAAAAAACATTTTGAAATAGTAAATGAATTCAGCTAAAAAAGTTATCAACAACAAAGTTGTAGAACTCATCAAGACCTACGACTCTTATTTTGGTCATTTGTGCATCCGACAAAGTCATAGTAACATTGTTCATAAACTTTACATGTCTCATATGGTTTCATAAAGTATAAGAGAGATATATAAATTTTGTGAACAATGTTACAATCATTTTGTTGGATGAAGAAATGACCAAAATAAAAGTTGTAGATCTTGACGAGTTGTACAACTTTTATGTTCACGACTTTTTTAGCTGAAATCATTTACTGCTCCAAAATGTTGTTTGAAGTTGTGTTTTTTTGGAATTCAAATTTTCAATTGATAAAACAAAGTCACATGAAAAAACAACCAAAATAATAGTTGTAAGAACACAGTAGATTGATAGAGCACGATTTTAGAAACATTTAGGAAAAAGAATCACCGTATTTGGAGTTAGCATGAGGGAGAAAGACTAGTTACAAAATTTCGCTACCGATTAAAAGAACAAAACCTTTGTTCATGTTCTTGAATTTCTAGTATTTAAGCAATTATTTTTGTACTAAGAACATGTAACCATATTTCGTGGGGGTGGAATCTGACTCTCATGAAAATGATTACTCTCATGAAAATAAATAATTTCATGGGGGTATTTAAATACTCTCACAAAAACAACCAATTTTCATGACGGTGCGTGGAACACTCTCATGAAAACAATTTTCGTGAGTGTCTATTATCACGAAAATCATAACTTTCGTGGCGGTGTCGAATCACTCTCATGAAAATATGTTTTCGTGGCGGAGATTTACATCACTCTCATGAGAGTTCGTTTTTCACTCTCACGAAAAAACGTCCCTCTCACGAAATATCCAGTTTCTGGTAGTGATGTGGGGCACAGCTCGTCAGAAAGTATTGCAGGGCTGGGCAAGCTGACGGCTTTGTCAGAGCTGTCACTCGTTTGCTCTTTCTTGCACGACCACGTGCCAATAGTATCGCTGCAGAATCCGATATGGATGCCTCCTCTATCTGCTTCTCTAGAGAAACTTGATAAGCTCAGATCGCTTGACGTGACGTGTTTTCATCGCGTTGCCTACTGCGCTGATGCGATGAGCTCACTTTCCCCTCTTTGTGGGGGTAAGCCTTGAGCGGCTGAACCTGATCGAATGGTCTTTCTCCATTGTTCCTAGTTGGATCGGCCATCTGCACAGCCTCAAGGAGTTGAACCTTGGAGCGAAGCAACTAATCCAGGAAGATATTGGTGTCATTGGAATGCTACCCTCCCTCGTCGGACTCAACCTGCGTATTGTACATGTCCCGGTCACAAGGATCGTGATAGGAGGAGGATTATTCACAGCTCTCAAGTGGTTTACGTTTAACTGTGATGGGATATCGTCCCTGACGTTTGAGGCCGGGGCAATGCGTAACCTAGGATACCTCAGCTTGGCACTCAATACTCTATTATAGCTATGAGTATGGATCTTTTTAATTTATAGCTTGAGTTGGTCAAAAGTTTATTCGTCGCTACTATTGTACCTGAACTACTGTGTACTGGCCGGTCGCATGTAATATATAAACTTCGTGTCACAAATAAACACCGCTGTTACGTTGTATGTTACCTTGAGATTGCGGTGTAATATTGTGGCCCGTATGGCATTGCTTCATAGTTCATCCAGACCTAGCTTTGAGTATGGATCTTTTTCTTTGGGCCTAATATGAAAACTCCAACCTCTCCAGGATCTCGGACTTTTTTTTTGGTGGGTAATCCATGGAGATATTATTTTAATTATTATCTTAGCTCTTAGTATGGGGTTTTTCATCCCTGGGTTTTGCTCCCCCTTGCTTCCAAAGAGCCTAGGAGGAATCAGGAGGGGTGGGGCACCCCTACTAGTTAATATATGAATATGAATATGAATATATAGAAGCTAAAGCAATGCTATGTTTCAACAAGGGGAGTTGGAGCCAGTGAAACCAACAACAAACCAGCTCATCTGACTTCAAGTTCATTTTCAGAAGAAAAGGAAAAAGATCTCTTCTTACATTGTTACTACAAGTGGAGACGCTAAAGCTGTGGGCTAGTACCATAATGAGGACAAAAAGGTTTACTATAATTTCAGTATATGGGCTTAGATGAACTAGCCCAAATGTAAGTTATAATAGAGATGGTAAGTTACACAGATTTGTTTTTCATTACTGTGGAGGCTTGTAATTTCCAGGTATGAAAATATTGGTCATGATCAGTCTCTTATAACACGTCATATCTTTTGATTTTGTTTTGCTAGTTATGTTTATTTTTCAAACACTCACATTGAAACTTTTTTTTTAGTATTTCTATTTGACATCAGAAGATATTCTAATTGCATATACTAATCACCTTTCATTCCAAGGCAAGTTTCAATCACTTAGTGACATGATAATAATAATAGTAATAAAAGAGACGCCCATTACCAATGGTCGTTGTGTGACTCAATCCCTTCTTGTATACCCTCCGTCCCAAAATGATTGTTGTTTTAGATTTTCAGATATCTCGTTTGACTGTTCGTCTTATTAAATTTTTTTATCTATATATTATATGTTTTATTATGACTTATTTCATCATTAGAGGTACTTTAATGATGATGTATTAATTTTATAATTTATATAAAAAATTTGAATAAGACGGATGGTCAAATAAGATGTATGAAAGTCAAAAACAATAATCATTTTGGGACGGAGTGAGTACCTCACATCCCACCGTAGGGAGGAGAGGACCGAAAAGCCTGAAACTGGAAACTTGAATCTAAGAAGATAGAGCTTTTGTCCAGGAATGGGCAACGTGGATCGTGGTCGGGGCTGCAACTCATTCACGTCCCAAGAGAACGGTATTTTGAAAATTTTTAATGAAATTATTTTCGATTCCGAGAACGGGAGGATTCCAAACTAACTAGTTGACATCTTGGATTTATGAGAGGGGGTATAACTTTATTATTTTTCTTCCCCAAAACTTTCTATTTGATAGAATAATTATTTTTCCATGCATAAATATGTATACATTCATGCATGCTAGTGTATTTTGATTTTCACACGCATAAGCATCTTATTTTAGTGGCACTAACTAACTATACAAATCCATTTATCTCCGTCCATTTCAAAAATAAGTCTAAATCGTCAAAGCGGTAAATAAATCATATAAAGGATGGCTGACTAACGTGGGCTCTCTCAGAGTCAGAGTCAAACGATGTCATCCCAATCCATTTCTGTCCAGTGATGGCGGGTCACCATGGTCCGGCCAGACCCCATGGGCCTTGGCGACTCAGATCTCACGGGCCTGCATCTCACACGGCTAAATTAACACTAACCATCACTGCACCATCAGAACAAACCAAAACAGACACAGGTACGGCCCCGCCTCTGATGCCGCCTGGCAGCGCGTTCATGCCAGCAAAGCCGGCTTCCAGCGCTGCTCGGCCGCTGCGTGCCTGCCGCCTGCGCTTGGTCACTATGGCTCCACCCCCACCCGTGCGCAGCCGCAGCATCGTCGCCTTCGTGGATCATCGTGGCGTTGACGGTTATGCCCTCTAGGGGCTGCATGGGTTCATAGGTTTGCTTTTTTCTTAATTACACAGTACAACACAGACGCTCACAACACGCACATATATTCACCTCTACGAATACACGTGTGCAAACTCTACCCCTATGAGCACCTCCGAAACACTGAGCCGACAGATCTGACTCGCCCGGATAAACGGATTGGCAGATGCAATGCTCGGCCCACAAGCCCAGAATTGTTAGTTGCCAGACCAATCGTACACTCATAGCCAGCCGAAGTTGGCGGCCACGGCGGACAAGCAGCCAGCAATTTGCACAGGATTTTTCATTTTTGCACCGGAAACTCATGAGAGAGGGGTTCCCCTAAAAAAAAACTCATAAGAGAGGGGTTTATTTTTGTGAATTTTCTTCGTTCATCTCTTGAGGAGGAGCATGTATGTGCCCTCATTTATCTACTTAGAGCAGTTGGTATGGCTGTGCGCGTCGCACCCTGCCAACAAGAGTTTGACTCCCTCAGCAGTGGATTTGTTGGCTGCAGGAGCCGCAATTTATCTGCGCGTTGAAAAAAAAATCCACTCGTCTGTCCACATGCCAAAGCATAAAGGACTCGTGGTACATTTTACTCTATTTTTTGATATGATGTATCAGGAACACAATAGCAATGTAAAAGAACTGAAAACTTGTTACGGAAAAATCGAAGAACATGACATTACAAGGAAAACAGAACTGATAAATTACAAGGAAAAATGCACGTACAATCCCCTTAACGTGACAAGTCTGACTCAAAAGCATTATAGCATGATCGATAATAGTACTCCCTCCGTTCCAAATTATAAGTCATTCTAAGAATCTTGGAGAGTCAAAGTATTTTAAGTTTGATCAAGAATTATACGAAAAATTACAAAAGTATATGACATCAAATTGATATACTATGAAAATATAGGTAATGAAGAATCTAATGATACTTAGTTGATATCCAAAATATTATTATCTTATTATATAAATTTGGTCAAACTTGAGAAAATTTGACTCTCCAAGATTCTTGGAATGACTTATAATTTGAGATGGAGGGACTATATTACTTAACTAAAAAAAATGGACACGAAGGTTTGGAGCATCCCCCCGATATGGATGCTGTAGTCGTCGTGTCACTTGGGCCACCAGCAGGACAACGGAGATCCGGCGAGGTCATCTTCACTTGGACGTCACCGCCATTCTGGACTGGGAATCTCTTGGTGCGGTCGCCCAGGGTGAGCTCGATGTCTTGGCGTTGGATGAAGAAAGGGCTGGCATCCTCTTGGCTGGGAGGTGCATCATAGAGGCTTGCCTTTCCCCTTTACCACCAGCGGCGAGCGAGCCGAGCGGCATGGCAACTACAGACCGCGCCAGTGGAATCTGGGCCATGGAGCCAAAGCCACCAGAGCGGCCATAGGTGATCTCCGCTCCGTTGCGCATGGAGTCGAACAGCACGCTCCACGTGCGCTCGTCGCCGTTGAAGGCCAGGCTGCGCGTGGCGATTTGACCATAGATGACGGGGCTTACAGCTGAGGCGGCTCCGGGCGGAAGAAGAAGGTCGACCTCCACGTTGACCTCCACGGCTTCACTGAGCACCGCATAGGTCACGTTTACGTTGCGTTTGCCTTTGTTTGTTGTGATGGTGCCGGTAACGGGCTCGTCGTACCTGTTTTCTTCGTCGTAGCAGTCCCAATCCAGCTCACCGCGGTCCTGTGCCCCATCGGGACCGCCGGTGATGTCAACCCTAAAGGTGAAGCTCCTGTACGCTGAGATTGCTGTGTATGGTCCAGTCAGCGGCAGCGGCTCCTCGTCGGCCCCCTGCAGCAGCCAGCATGTCAGCCATAAGCAAAACAACGCATTATAGTACTCCCTTAGTATCAATTTTTCTCACGGCAAAAGCTAGCTGTAAAACTAAAAGACAGCCGTACCTGGCGTGGTTCTTGGATGGGAATGGGAAGATTGTTGCGGTAGATGACCTGGCCGCGTCTCCCGTCGAAGACCGATATGGTGCCAAGGAAATGAAAGCCGTCGGCGCGCACGGCGATTATCTCTACTAGGGGTCGTGCATGGGCCACGCAATCATCACCATCGTCAGGTTCAGGCGGCGGTACCGGTGTCGGCTGCCACTGGGAATGGGACCGGCGGCCACCGCCCTGGTTTGGCGGCTGCTGCTGTTGTCGGCCATGGCCCTGGCCGGCTGGCCCTCCTCCTGCTGCTGGGTTAGTTCTTGTTCTTTTGGGAGGAGGCTGGTGCCCCGGCCGCCGGCCGCCATTGCCACCTGCCGTGATGAACCTGCGCTCCTGGTTCCACAGAGTAGGTCTGTGAACTGGCCTGTTAAGCAGCAGTTCAACAATAGCAAGTGCTCTACTTGGGCTACTGGTCCGAAGCATGTCCCTCAGATGGTCGGGTAATAGGTAGCCTTGCCGATAGCGGTCCTTCTTCCACCTCAGCAGCGCCTCTGACATATCACCCCAATTCCAAAAGTAGTCTAGCTACTTGCGTGCAAGGGATGTAGACATTCTTTCCCCACATATCCAGGGGTGGGCTCATCCTTGCGGCTTCGCAGATCATCACGATCAGCTGCGCCAATGCCCTTTTGACTTTAAAATTAGCTCCGACACCGTGGGCTTGATTGTAGCCCGAGAGGCAACGAACGGCTTTTCTCATTTGCGTGTTGCCCAGCGCCACACACACCAACCACCTCGCTCCTCCGTAAACTAAGCATCCGTAGCTGCTGCCGCGCGCATTCCAGAAACGTCGACGGCTCTCCGTCCTGCTGTGGAGGTCCGAGCATGCGCATGCTCTCGCGCCTGGCGGTTCCAGTTGTTGGATCAATATGCTCATTATTCCCCGAGTAACCAAACTCGTACCATCGTCCACTCTGATTCTTGAAGCCAATAAGGTATACATTGTCATCCCGGACGGCGAGCGTTGTCCTCTGGTTGTTGTTGCCCTCAATCCTAGCCGGTCGAACACCACTCTTTTGCCTGGGGAGTACAGGATGGTTAAGGACATCAGTTCTCTCGGCATCACGGTGTTGAGCAAGCCTTGTACGCAAGTCGCTGATAAAAGTTGAATACGCCTCAATCTCGAACCGGTAGGTCATCTCAACAACGAGAGGGCGCTCCATTGTCGGAGTTCCTAATCATTAAATAAATACATCTGCTCCAAACATTATATTGCAATTAATAATTAGTCAAAGATATATAAGCATCTATATAAGTATCGAGTTAGATACTAACTAGCACATTACTTATAGCTATTATATCTTGTGTACCTAAGTTTGGGAATTCTACTCCAATCCATTTGCTCCTCAAAGGTTAAGGACCGTTTGGCTGGTTGGAAACATTTGTCGGACAGAGATTATAACCCCAAATGTTTCCTATTTCCATTGTTAGGGATTCTAAAGCCAGTAAAGTGTATATTCGCATCGTTCCGCTCCGTTTCCCCATGGACTTCATTCCATTTGATGAGATAACAACCATGCACGTCTAATAAGATGGGCAGACAGACCCGAGGCTGAGGTAGGGCTGTTGCCGCTACAACAACCGTGTGCACCAGGAGCCCTGCACTCCCCAACTGCGTGTCCTGTTCCCATGCTCCAGCCTTTGCTGCGTCACTACTGGAAACCGGTCGGCACTCGGCAAAGCCCGAAATACAATCGGCAAAGGCTTTACCGAGTGCTGCACTCAGCAAAGGGCACTCGACAAAGAATTAATCAGCAAAGAAGCCTTTGCCGAGTGCTTTTTGTCGGGCACTCGGCAAAGCCTTTGCCGAGTGCCGGAAAAGCACTCAACAAAGATTTACACTCGGCAAAATGAAAATGCGAAAAAACTCAAAAATAATAGCAAATTTTTTTTTCGGGGGAGGTCGCCACTGGCCATCAAAGTCGTTGTATTTTTTGCACAAAATTCGCGGCTAACGTGACCGGCGGCATTCAAACTCACGACCTCTCCCTCGTGTGTCTGCTGCTCTACCACTGCACTACACTGTCACTTGTGTCTGATTCCGTTATCTATCCTCATATATTATACTAAACCGAGAGTAAATTGCTTGTTGGAGGCCCTAAACGAATTCAAATAAAAAAGTGGTCAACTAAAAAGTTTCATAACTTTTTGAGATCTACAATTTTCATTTAGGAAGTTTTTCCATCCGAGGTCGTTTGAAAAATTTGAATTTCAAATTTAAGAGATTCTAACGTAGTTTTGCATGATAAGATGATTTCAAATCAAAAAGTTGTCAACTACATAGTTTCATAACTTTTGGAGATCTACAATTTTCATTTAGGAAGTTTTTCCATCTGAGGTCTTTTGAAAAATTCAAATTTTAAAATTTTCAAATTCAAACGTCGTTTTTGAATGACAAGATGATTTCAAATCAAAATGTTGCCAACTACAAAATTTCATAACTTCTCATGATCTACAAAGTTTATTTTAGTCATTTGTTCATCCGACATAGTGGTAGTAACATTATTCACAAATCTTATATATCTCTCTTTTACTTTCATGAAACTAATACGAGAGATATGAGAGAGATGTAGATTTTATGAGCAACGTTATTGTCGCTTTGTCAAATGAAGAAATGATCAAAATAAACTTTGTAAATCTTAAGAAGTTATACAACTTTGTAGTTGAAAAGTTTTTCATTTGAATTCATTTAGGGCCTCAAAAGTTGCTTTGAAAAAATGATTTGCCGAGTGCCAAAAAATGGCACTCGGCAAAATACATCTTTGCGAAAAATGGCACTCGGCAAAATACATGTTTGCCGAGTGCCGGAAAAAAAAACACTCGGCAAAGCCATCTTTGCCGAGTGCCGAAAAAAACACTCGGCAAAGCCGTCTTTGCCGAGTGCCCAATAAAATACACTCGGCAAAGCTTCCGGCACTCGGCAAAGTGCCGGTTTCCGGTAGTGCGTGACACCATGAGCTACCATCTCCCATTTGCACAACACTAGCTAGGACCAATATGGCAACCTCTTCCCCATGACCCTGACCCCACAATACGACACTAGGATCCGGCATCTCTCCTCCCCCACCCCCAACCGCGATCTGTGATGCCATATTTAATGTATCTGTAATGTTCAGTGATTATATGTGACGATTAGTGACTATCTGTGACGATTTGGATGTGGTGTCAATTTAAATTTGAACTTGAATATTTCTAGCAAAACTTTAAATTTCAATTTAAATTTGAATTGAACATTTCTGGCAAAAATTTAAATTTGATTAATGGGCCAAATCTTCACTGCACCTGGGCTAGCCCAGTAGTATGGGCCTAATTAGAAAAAAAAACTACAGAAAACATGGGCTTAGTAGGCACACAATATGAAGAACAAATGTGCCTCCTCCATAATGGGCTGGCGTAGGCCTAGTGCTAACGTGGCAAGGTAGCTGCCACGTTAAATCCATCATCACCAAATGACATGGCAAATGATGACGTGGCTAACAAATTCATGACGTTTCAGTTCATCACTATAGGCTTTGGCTATTGTTGTTGACCATGTATTCCATGACGAAATAAAATGGCAATCGGTGACGGCTATAGTTGGTCCAGCAAATGTATGACTTGAGATACATGACGGATATCTCGATCGTCATGGCAAGTTAACTATGACTTATTTTCAATTGTTTATGATCAAAGTGATTGTCATGTGAAACACCATTCCTTGTAGTGTCCCCATGCCACAGACCTTGCCAGCCACCTTGTGGACTCGAAGCTACCATCCATCGACCTCAAACAGCTACCATTTCAAGGGCACTTTGGTCAATTAATTCCACCACATTATCCTCTCTTCATAAGAATCTAAATCTAGATAGCCAACAAAAATTGTTCCAACAAATGATTCTGTCTCTCAAAGAAACATTTCTCAAGTCAATCTGAATCTAAAATGTTTCTAACATATACAATTTGGATCTCTATCAAATGGGTCCTTAATCACATCTTGCTCACTTTGCGTATATAGTTCGGTTAAATTTGGTTTTCCAACGATGTGGAATGTTGAATCTTGACCTTGATTTTGAGCTGGATTTCCTACTATATTTTGATTGGGATTTGTTGCGGATGTGTGGGGATTTCTTAGATTAAGATGTAGCCCCATTTTGTGGCGGTGATCCAACTCATATTCGGACTACGACATTGAAGAAGCAAGAACGAGCTAGATATGAGCTCCAATATCTGCATATTCTTTACAACAACGTGTAAAACCCGATTGTTAGATGATGGTAGGGTGAGCAATACAAGTGGGGGTTTCCCAGTTTGTTCCTTTGGGTTGTAAAGGTCATTTCATATTAAATAGGTTTGGCTAATTAATTGTTGACCTTTATGATTTTGTCAAAATTTACTTGGATTAAGTAAAATTCTCCCTCTCCAGCATGGTCTGGTGTTGCAACCGGTGGTGATTTCTGACGGAACATGCCCCACATATTAACCTAATGAAGATGGACTCAGATTTCTTAATTTGAGAATACCATCATTTAATTTATTGGGTCGTATATGGCGTCATAACCTTGTGTAGATGTACTGTAAATGGATGTAAAGTGCAGACCAACACTCCAAGGAGATCATTGTTGATCGTTGAAGCTGTTAGCAACGCACACCTGTTTATGGGTTTTGTATGTCCATGCTTTGTTGCAATAATAAGAAGGATCATTCTTCAAGTCCATCAATTTGTGCGCTCAGATGGACTAGAATTTAGGAGATAAAAGTATAAGATAATACTCGCTCCGTCGCAAATTAGGAGTCATTCTAAGAATCTTGGAGAGTCAAAGTTTTTAAAAGTTTTACCAAATTCATATATAAGATAATAGCATTTATGATACCAACTAAGTATCATTAAATTCTTTATTACTAATATTTTCATAATATATTAATTTGATGTCATGAACCTTTGTGTTCCTCTATATAATTTTTGGTCAAACTTGGAATATTTTGACTCTCTAATATTCTTGGAATCACTTATAATTTGGGATAGGGGGAGTATTTATTGATCTCTCCACTCCAAATTATAAAACATTTTGGATTATATAATAAAAAAGCTCTTACTATGCATCTAAATATAGTTTATATCTAAGTGCATAACAAAAGCTATGTATTTAGATTTTAGAAAACTCAAAACATCTTATAATTTGAAAAGGAGGAACTATATCAACATCAACATCAACATCAACATAGCCTGTTAGTCCCAAGCAAGTTGGGGTAGGCTAGAGTTGAAACCCAACAAGATACCCAAGTCACGGTTCCGGCACTTCGATAGCTGCTTTTCAGGCAATCCTATCCAAACATAGATCTTTAAATATATCCCAAGCTTTTAAATCCCTTTTCACCGCCTCCGCCCATGTCAACTTCGGCCTTTCTCTGCCTCTTCTTATATTATTAGCTTGGCTTGGAACTCCACAACGCACTGGTGCATCTGGCGGTCTTCTCTGGACATGGCCAAACCATCTCAACCGATGTTGGACAAGCTTTTCTTCAATTGGTGCTACCCCTAGGCGACCACGTATATCATCATTCTGAACTCGGTCCATTCTTGTGTGACCACAAATCCAATGCAACATGCGCATTTCTGCAACACTCATTTGTTGAACATGCCGAGCCTTTGTAGGCCAACATTCGGCTCCATACAACATTGCAGGTCTAATTGCCGTCCTATAGAACTTGCCTTTTAGCTTTTGGGGTACCCTCTTGTCACATAGAATGCTAGAAGCTTGACGCCACTTGATCCACCCTGCTTTGATTCTATGGCTAACGTCTACATCAATATCTCCATCCTTCTGTATCATCGATCCCAGATATCGGAAGGTGTCCTTTTTAGGCACGACTTGACCTTCCAAACTCACATCTCCCTCATCCTGTGCAGTTGTGCCAAAGTCGCATTTCATGTATTCGGTTTTAGTCCGGCTTAATCTAAAACCTTTAGACTCAAGGGTCTGCCGCCACAACTCAAGTTTCCTATTTACTCCCGCCAGGCTTTCATCAACTAACACTACATCATCGGCGAAAAGCATGCACCAAGGGATATCCCCTTGAATGTCCCTGGTAACCTCGTCCATTACCAAGGCAAAGAGATACGGGCTCAAGGCTAACCCTTGATGAAGCCCTATTCTAATCGGGAAGTAATCAGTGTTACCATCGT